ACACATAAGACAAGCAAATGCGTCAATCGGACAAATATCAAAATGGAGAAAGTTCTCGAATAACGAAAATGAGTCAAAAGGCAAAGACTGGGTTGAACCAAATAAACAAAACTGGAAACAAATCAATAATGGCTCAAATAAAAAATAACAACAAAGACAATGCAAGAAAAAAACACGAACCAACAAACTGTCCTGCATTCGGTCAAACGCGCCGTAAATGTAATAAAATAAATCATTGGGCAACTTGCTGCAACTCAAAAAACATACACGAAAATTGAGCTTTAGAATAACATGTGGAATCTGTATCATCTGGTGAAATAAATGGTAAAAAAGAAGCTTCGATAATCTTTAAAATTACAGGGTTATTAATTCTTATATGCGCGTCTATTCATTCTTATATGCGTGTTTATTCATTCTTATATGCGTGTTTATTCATTCTTATATGCGCATTTATTCATTTTAATGTGCGTTTTACAAAAGCAATTGTAAAAAAGCAATTTGAACAAAAAAAAAAAATCATATAAGCAATTTGTTTTGAAAAAACAGTTTATTTTTTCAAAACAAAATTTTCTTATTTCCTGGTAAACGAGGTTAAAAATACTGAAGACGAAGACTTTTTATACATTCGATGATGGTTTATTTACTTTAGTAGGGGAGAGTGTGTATGAAAGAGCCAGTTTTAAAAAGGAATAAAAAAAAGTCAATTGGGGTTAATTTTTTTTTTTTTTTAAAATAGTTACTTTATTGGGTAATATTATAGAATTAAAATAAATTGGATAAAAATGCTAAAAACCTGTCATAAACCTATTTTTAAAAAAGATAGAAAACGGCTCTTTCATAACATTGTGTTAATGAAAGAGCCACCACTGTGCCATGAATAAGCCGTTTGTCGCTTATTAGTAGTTGATGACATGTTTTTCTCTTAATGATAAAAAATATGAAATGAGAATAAGGAAATAACATAATAAATATACATAATAATATAATAAATACATAATAGTAAAATAAAATGATTCAAACAATACAAAAAAAGTTTAAAAAAATTATTTATACTTTAAAAAAAAAATATGACTTTTTCAGAACTTTGACTTGAAATTTTTATTAAATATTATTTTAAATTCTAAAGGAGCTATGTTTTACAACTTCAGGAAAAGTCATTAAAACAACTTATTTAGATAGAATAAGCTCATTGAAGCGTTACGAAAAATATATGAAGTCGTTAAAGCGCGAAACAATTAATTAGTTTAAAAAAAAACTAAATAGAAAAAACCGGCTCATTCATAGCATAAAAAGTCGACTTTCTTTCAACAAATTGTATGTTTATAAAAATAAACTCAAATTAAACATTTTTTACCGAAACTTTAATCTAATATTTTTTGTGTAAATGAAGGGCAAATATATATATAACAACGAGGCATATATCTTTTATCAAATAATAAAATACACTTTATCTTAAAAACAAATAAGTAAACCCCCAAAAAATTACTTTTTGTGTTCAAAATATTTAGTGCAGCCTAACGGCGCTATTTATTTTAGTAGAACTATAAATTTTTTGTGGGTGACTTGTATCCAGTGTTGACACACAATGAGTAAAAAACAATTATGGTTGGGTGCCAGGAAGTTAGAAATAACGGCATCGGCTCTTTCAAAACCTGGCTCTTTCATACACACTCTCCCCTATTAGTTCTTTGTTTAATTTTATTATCGAATTTACTGAATGATTAACTTATTATTTATCTAATTATTCATTTGTCTAGATTTAAATTTAATTATTTATAATTATAATTAATATCAAATTTTTACCCTATGGGTGGAATAGAAAATAGCAGTACCAATCGTAAAACAAGGAAAAATGTTACAAAAGAGCACATTGAAATGCTTAAGCATTTAGTTGAAAGAAATCAATCTACAACAAACATTTTCAATTCTCTTAATTTATCGGAGCGCACAGTTCAAAATCTTGTCGTTAAGTTAAACAAAGAAAAATTCGACGACATGCCTGCATTCAAGTCGTTTTCTGATAAAAAACGAGGTAAAAGACCTATAGACCAATGGGAGTGCTTGCTTATGAAACAAAAACTGGAGGCTGGAATGCAGATTCATTTTGTACTTTCATAACTACAATGATGGATCCAGCGAATAGGAATGCAAATGTGAAAACACCGGTGCTTATTATGGATAATTGTAAATTCCACTGGAGTCTTAAGCAAGCATTTAGGCATAGCTTATACAAATGTTAAACTACGTGGTTATGAAGGAAATCATATTCCAGTGCTTGGAGCATCAAAGATGATGTGTTACTACAAAAGTCGTAAAAAGTTGGTTAAATTCTATGTAGTTGAAACAACAAGCAAACTCGTTCTTAGCTTACAAACTTCACAAGACTTAAAAGCTATCAAACTACTAAATGAAGTAAAAAATGTAGACACGAACAAAGTCGCAGCAAAAAGAAATATCTTCTCTAAACAAAGTAAAACGGATTGAAGGAAAATAAGTAAAAGAATTAAATGAAGAAATACTACAAATGTATCCAAAATTATTTAACGGGTTGGGAATGATTAGACCTGAACATCACATCGAGTGGAAGAATGACTCAAATCATGCAATCATTCACCGATCAATCAATCCGATCATGCAATCATTCGCCTTGTTCAGGACATATTTAAATCGTTTGATGAAGGCAAGTATACCCTAGGTCTTTTTATCGATTTAAGTAAAGCTTTCGATACAGTCAATCATCAAATACTTCTATCGAAACTCAAAAGTTATGGTATAAAAAATACTAACTTGTCCTGGTTCGAGAGTTATTTGACCAATAGGAAGCAGTATATAGTTTATGATGAAGGAAAAACTAATTATGAGACAATTAAATGTGGTGTTCCTAAAAGATCAATTTTAGGGCCACTTCTATTTCTTGTTTATATAAACGCTTTAAATAAATTTTCTAATATTTTAAATACAATTTTATTTGCAGATGAAACCAGCTTGTTTTATTCCAATAAAGATATCAATATATTATTCCAAACATTAAAAAAAGAACTAGACAAACTAACCCAATGGTTTAAATCAAACAAATTATCTTTAAATATTACTAAAACAAAATACACTTTATTCCATCACCTACATAAAAAATCAGATATTCCCTTAGAACTCCCAGACCTTTTTATTGAAAATCAATTAATAAAGAGAGAGCAATCAATAAAGTTTTTAGGCGTATTTCTAGACAAAAATGTAACCTGGAGGGAACACATAGGTGTAGTTGAAGATAAAATATCAAAAAATTTAGGAATAATGTACAAAGCAAAGCAGTTATTACATCGATCTTGTTTAAAAAACATTTACTTTTCTTTTATTCATTGCTACTTAAGTTATGCGAACATTGCTTGGTGTAGCACTAACGCGACAAAAATAAAAAAATTGCTTAGCAAACAAACACAGGCTATAAGGATAATTTCAAACGTAGATCGTTTTTCACACACACAAACACTTTTTAATGAACTCAATATCCTAAATGTATATAAACTAAACCTCTATCAAGTTCTTATTTTCATGTTCAAACTTGATAAAAATATATTACCAATCTTATTTTATTCAATTTTTGAAAAAATAAATCACATATACCCTACAAGATTTTCAAAATACAACTACATTCAATCCAAAACTTATTATTCCGCTACTAAATTCTCTATCGTAAACCGAGGACCAAAGTTGTGGAACATAATATTAAATAATGAAATGAAAACTAATTATTCTCTAAACCAATTCAAAACAAAACTTAAGCAATTACTTTTGTTAACTGAAAATGAATTAAATTTTTTCTAATAAAACTTCTTTATATTAGAAATCAATAATTAATAGTTAATTAATTAATTACTTTAGATTATTAATACATAATTAATCAACAATTGTACATATGTTTTTATTATTTTAAATGATAATCTTCTTTTTGAGAAATTTATTTTTTATTTTTGCGTTATTTATTAATCTTTTACTTTTATTTTATACTGTTTATTTGCTTTTACTTAATTGGCAATGAAAAGTATTATAAATATAATTAAATAAGTTAAACTATAAAATGCTTCACCAATAAAATGTTTTTATATAAAATCATATCTTCTTATTTTTTCAAACCAAGTCTTAAATGTTATTTTTGTCATTTTAATATTTTATTAAATTTTGTTTTTTTTATTTTACAAAACAATTGTTAAATCTTATTCTTTGAAAAACTATAAATTTTAAACGATATGCGATATATTTAAATTTTCTTTTATAATATAAATCAGAGATATATACATTGAAACTATATTTTATTGTCAAACTATATTTTGTCTAGTAATGACGCATTTTTTGGGGCTTAATGATAAGACTAAGTTTGTCTTCTTCTAGCCCCGGTAATGTAATTATTTTTTTTTTATAAGTTACGACTGTAAATTTTTTTTTATCGGCAAAAGTGTAAATAAATAAAAAATCCTGTTATTCATCCACCAAAAAAAATTGCTGTTACCTTGAGAGAAAAAATAAAAACAAAATTGGATGAAATGGAAAAAACAGGAATAATAACAAGAGTAGATGAACCTACAGAATGGGTAAATTCGCTTGTAGTCGCGGAAAGACCAAATGGACAATTAAGACTCTGTCTGGATCCAAAAGACTTAAATAAAGCTATGAAAAGAGAACATTATCAATTACCTACTTTTGAAGAAATATCAACTAGGTTTTGTGGTTCAAATAAATTTACAAAAGTAGACGCAAATAAAGGTTATTGGAAGATTCCACTGGATAAAAAGAGCTCAATGTTAACCACGATGAATACACCATTTGGAAGATTTAGATTCACACGTTTACCTTATGGTATACATTCGGCTCAGGAAGTATTTCATAAAAGAATTAGTCAATGTTTTGATGATCTTCATTTTGTGGAAACTGATATTGATGATATTCTAATATGGGACACAAAAGATGTCACGATGATAATCTAATAAAATGCCTAGAGCTGAAAAATGGGAATAACCCTAAATATTGAAAAATGCCGATTTCGAACACAAGAATTGATACACTTAGAACACAAATTATCAATAAACGGAGTAAAACCAGATGAATCAAAAATTAAAGCCATCATTGAAATGCCAAAACCTGAACATAAAAAAAAGGGGTTCAAAGATTTCTAGGTATGGTAAACTATGTTGGTAAATTCCTACCTAATTTATCAGAAACAACGGAATTTCAAAATCTAATTAAAAAAGGAACACTAATGATATAGGGCGAAGCACAAGATCAATCTTTCAGAAAAATTGCTTTGTTTGATCCAAAAAAAAAAACTGCTATGTTTGGAACAATGTCTTGATATCCAAAAACCTATACCGTTACAAATAGACGCATGCAAAACTGGTGTTGGAGCAGTACTACTTCAAAATGAAAAACCAATTGCATTTGCATCAAGGTCAATGACACCAGCTCAGTTAAACTATGCAATCATTGAAAAAGAACATCTCGCAGCACTTTTTGGGTGTGAGCGATTTCACCAATTTATATATGGGGGAAAAGTAACTGTTATGAAGAAGTCGTTAACAAACACTCTTCCGCCTCTTCAGAAAATGTTATTAAGAATGCAAAAATATGATATAGATTTAATTTATAAAGCTGGTAAAGAAATGATCCTGACAGTACGTTATCTAGAGCTCACACCAATGAAACTGAAGAAGAAATCCCGGAGGATGAAATGATTGCTCAAGTGCATATGGTTTATGCAAACTGCTCATCATCAGAAGAAAACCTCAAAGAAGTAAAAACAAACACGCTCAAAAATATTACGTTAAATGTAGTAGCAAATTACATAACAAATGGATGGCCGCAAGGTAAAAGAAAGGTTGAAGACTCAGTAAAACCCTATTGGTCGTTTAAGGAGGAAGTGACACTCATAAAAACAATAATTTTTAAAGGACAAAATATTTTAATTCCAACATCAATGCGAAAAGCAACAATTCAAAAACTATATCTAGCACACATGGGGATTGAAAAAACTAAAATGAGAGCAAGAGAAACTGTATTTTGGCCAGGCATTAACAAATAAATTGCAGATTTAGTAAAGTCGTGTGAAACATGTCTGGAATACACTCACACAAAAAAAAAAACTAAGGAGTTAATGATATCAAGCAAAATACTAAATCACACGTTTCAAATTGCGAAAACTGACTTATTTCACTCGAATAATCAGGATTTTATGATAGTGGTCGACTATTATAGTCGTTATTGGAAAATCGAAAGGTTACATAACATTCAATATTAAACCGTGGTAAAGAAACTAAAAATGATCTTCTCCAGACTTGGTATACCACAGATAGTACGGAGCGACAACGGCACACAATTCACATCTTCAGAATTCCAAAAATTCAGTAAAGAGTGGGAGTTTAAACATATAACTAGTAGCCCTCAGTATCAACAATCAAATGGAATGGCGTGCAAATAGCAAAAAACTTGCTAACCAAAGCAAAAAGGTCAAATCAAGATCTGTACATAGCTCTACTAGAGGTAAAAAACACTCCTGTTGACTTGCATCACCTGCTCAGCTCATCAGTGGAAGAAGATTACGAGCAACACTTCCTACTCCTCTGTTACTACTTCAAGTAAATCTAATTGACGTAAATAAATTTAAGAAGAATCATGAAAAAGTTCAAAACCTAAGGAAAAAATATTATGACAAAAACGCGAAAACATTGGAAACGTAAGCGATGGAGACTGTGTTCGTATACATGATGGAAATAAATGGCAACCAGAAAATATTCTTGAGAGCAAACAGCAACGAAGTTTCAATGTAAAAACCCTAAATATAAATATTGTTAGGAGAAACAGAAGACATCTCTAAAAACAAAAGAAGAAGTAGATTGGGATGTCAATTTATCCGATAATGAAAGCGATATGAATGAATAATAAAGCGATATGAATGAGACATATTCGTAGGTAAAAGAAAATTGTCGAATAACACAAACATTGATCTAAATACAAATCAAGATGAATCATCAGACAGCGACATTATTGTCACGCAATCAGGAAGAATTTCGAGGAAACCAAATTACATTACATACGAAATGCATTTTTAAAATAAAGAAGGTGTAATGGTTGTTACGCAAAACAATTCCCTCTGGACAATCGTTTATAACGCTAATTCAGAATAGCAATCAGCGATTGCAAAACAAGCCATTCCCTTTTGCGAATTGCACAAAAACTGATTACGAAAGTATTCCCTTGAGAGAATTCTGCACTAGGAATTCTTGGTTGAAAACCGTTGCGCTGAGCTTAATGACAGTTGGAATTTTGACACAAAACTACACATAGTTTTATATTAAACTTGTTATAATAATTTAACATACAAATATTGAAATGAATATTAAATAAAAACCAACGTTATTTTCTCTTTATAATAAATAAGAAGACAAACATTACATATGACCAAATGTAAACACAGCACAGAAATAGTTTGGTTTTGCTGATATTCCACTTTTCAATTAATTATTGAGTATTTAAAAAATTAGTTCCCCCACTACCTTGTCTGAGTTTTCCAAAGCTCTTTCTATGGGGTCTGTTGTAAAATTCTCAAGCAGCACATACATTTGAGAATTGTCTTACAAATGCTTTCTTAGTTCAACTAAACCATTACAAGTTTGATCTAATGCATTGCTTGTATCCATGGTTATACTTCTAATTCTTTTTCCTTAAATCAATGTTAGCTTTAACATTTCATAAAACTAATTTAAATCATTTAATCATAAATCATCAATGGATGATATGGGATCTCGTAATTTGTCTTTCAAATGGATTCCTTCGTATGGACTTTTAACGTTAACTATTTTCCAAAATTAAACCACCTTAGTTAAAAAAAAAATAGTTCCATCAATGTCATCATCTTTCATACCTTGATGACACTTTAATGTATTTATAGTCTCTTCACAAAAAACCTTTAAACATGTATCAACTTTTTTTTTCTCAATCGGCATTGGTTTAACAGCAATATAAGTCTTTATAACAACTCTATAACAGCTTTATAACAACTTAAACATTTTAACAAATTCACCTTCTTCTATCTTTTGAAGCTTTTTGATGTGATTCCATTTAGCATTTTATTTTTTTCCTCTTAAGTAAATTTGACAAAATTCAATTTCACCAGACTTTTCAGTTATCCAATTGACAATTGGATAACTGAAAAGTCTGGTGAAATTGAATTGTTTCGTACCGAAACACGAAACAATTGAATTGTTTTGTATACACTTTATTAAATGAACAAAATCAAAGAAGAAAAAAATGCCATCAGTTGTTAACCATGGAAATATGCAATCAAATCTTTTGAAAAATACTTGATTTACTCTATTATTATCATTAATTAATACAATAACTTTTCCATTTGCCTTCGTAACTTGGTTGATTAAGATAATAGTTTGATAATATAAAAAATCTGCGTCTAAATTATTTACTGGTAACATTTTAACTAAAAATTTTGGTCCATAAAAACATACAAGCATAAAAGCCAATACAGTTTTTGCAAGATTTGATTTATCATTTACAGCTTTACCAAACAACTGTCCTCCATGATAAGTTATATAATGATATGTTATTTAAGTACTCCCTGCCTTAGGGATCGTCCATAAATTACGTAACGCGAAAATTAACTAACAGACAAAAGAAAAAGTGTTAAAAGTTTTCCCTCGCAGAGTCTTTAATTAACCCATGCATAACGGAACGCACTCTTGTCAAACCCCTATTCAGACGTTGAACGTCCTTTGCGCCTGCGAACTTATATTTTTAGGAAATAAGCAATATGGGGTATATAGGGATTTGCACATCTGTGTGCACATACACCGACTGATTTTTAGAGAGAACATGCAGCGGAGTGTACAAACAACGACTGAGGATTTGGGGTAGGCAGGTTCTCTTTTAAATAAAGAATTTGTTTTTTTTACATTTTCGGATCTTAAGGACAGCGTCGAAATAAGGGTTTAACAAGAGAGCCTACCATAAATAACCCTTCAAGTCCAGCGATAGCCGCCGCTCAAAAGAGAAAAATGCTCTTACATTTTTAACATGAGCTTTGCGTTGCGTAATTTATGGCACGGTAGTTTAGATATTAGGAAAAAGCAGAAAGTAATTATACGCAAGCGCAGTAGCATTATATAATTTTGAGAAATTAAAAAATGGCTACGGAACCGAGCAACAGAAAAAATACAATTCAAAAATCAGTTATTTGTATATTCTAGCTTATAATATCAGTTCCTAATTATTTATTGTGTTCAAGTCAATTTATAGCTAGATTAATTACGCAAACTATTATTTCAAATACGGAAAGAAACATTTTATAATGAAAAAAGTATACACATACAAAAGTTACCTTTTTGTGATTTGTTTACATTTTTTAAAATACTTTTGCTCATTATTTGAGCGTTTTTATTAAAAATTCTACTCTTTACCAGTTTAATAAGACTTTCATTTTTTTGGAAGTTAGTTTAAATTTTTGGATTCAATTTTTTAATCTGCATAAAAAGATAAAACATTTTGTGTTAAATTAACATCATGTTGCAATTTGCAAACTTAACATCATACTGCAATGTTAGTGTTTTTAAATCATGATAAACATGATTTAAAAACATTGCAGTAGGTATATGAAGACTATTGATGATAATGATAAAAATGAAAAAATTAACATTAGAAACTATTTATTTGTTTGTTCTTTTTCATTGTCACACCATTCCTTGCTTTTTACAAACTATTTGTTGTTTTGTTATTTACAAAACACAAACATTGTTTTTTCTCTCATTATCTTGTAAAGTTATTTTAACAAATAGTAACTTAAATAATTTACCTTAAAGGTAAATTATTATAGATAGTCTGTTGTTGCAAACCAAAAAAGAGAAAAAATATCTTAAAAATATTTTTAGGAGTCTTTTTGCTAACTTTTGATCTGGTCAAATTAAAAGCTATTTTTTAAAAGAAAATTTTTTATTTTTTCGTTAATTGTTGTTTATTAAATAAACAATATCATTTCGGTTTGAAATAAAGTATTATTGCAGTATATAATTTTGAATTTAATTTATTAAGTTAGGGTTAAATTAAAGTATTTTATACTTTATATTTTATGCTTATTATATAAATTGTTTGTTTTACTTAAATAAAAGAATATTAGAAATTGTATTTAAAGTTCTTATTTTAATTATTATTAAAATTTAATTAATTGAACTTCTTTAGTGATAACATTCTTGAAACAGTCATTTTTCAAATATTAGTTTGATGGATATCCATTGCAAAAATTTGAAAGTTCCCTGCAGGGTCTGTGGACAGTTTGTATGGAAAAAGAACATTAACTTTAAAACATCATTGTCATTAATTTCATTGTCACCATGCAAATCATTATCAATAGCATCATCAAATCTACAATCTAAGAGTTGCATATCAGATATATTCATGCTCACAAAAGATAGTGTTATTCCCAGAGTTGTTGAAGATGCTGCTCTTCATGTCATTAAACAAAAAATGGCCCAATGTGAAGATAAATCAGTTGCATTTAAAAGTGGACCAAGAGTAAATAACTTTATTTTTATTTTTTACTTTTATAGCAGAGAAGTATTTTTTTATAATTTTTTAATGTTGAATAATTTTATTTTTAATGAAAATTTATATTTAATGAACAATTATTTATATAAAAACTAAATGAAGTGCTAAAATTGTTTTAAATTTTATTAAAAAAAGTAATTATGAGGCTTAGTTGTTTTGTGTCCAGTCCAAAATATTGTAATTGATATAACTCTAATTTGCTAAAAATTCTCTGGTTTTAATGCTTTTATTATATGCTGTATATTAAGTTTTTTCAATTTTAGCCTATATTTATATCATCTGTATCTAAAGCATATGTTAGCAGAAACCATGCATCAGAAAAAACTATAAAATGCCGAAATTCATTGATTAAAAGGGAGCTTGAAGTAATAGCTGGCAAATCATTAGATTCAGTTTGTTGTCAATCTTCTAAACTGTTGAAATCTTTTAGACCAGAAAGTGGGGAATTAATATTAGTAAATGCTAATATTGAGAGAGTTTCAAGTAACATGGTAGTATTGAAGGCTGACTTGAACATGCCGTGGGAAAAGTTAGAAGCAATATCTCGGTATATATATATATATATATATATATATATATATATATATATATATATATATATATATATATATATATATATATATATATATATATATATATATATATATATATATATATATATATATATATATATATACTCAAGTGCATATATCTTGTATTTTTGAAATAACGACAGAAAATATTATTGACTCTAACATTTATAGCAGCAACTTTAAACTTTAAATTTAATCAATCTTATCAAATCATATTAAAATGTGATTATGAAATTACATAGCAAAAAAATATTGATTAAAGATAGTACAGCTGTTCATAGTTTGCGGGGTTTTGTTCTAAGTCAAAGAATATCAAAGTTTGAAGAATTTTAACCTTTATAAACAACAAATACATTTTATAAAAAAACTATTAGATGTCGCGAAGAAAACTAGAAAATATCATGGATCAAACAAACTAATTTTTACTTTCCGATGATAACATTGATCGAAATAACTTAAATTTGATAAGCTGAAAAATAATATATACTCATTCAATCCTCTCATATTGTTTCTTTTTCTCTTACATTGAACTTTTATAAACTGTTTTAGTTTAGAATATATTATAATTTATTTAGTTAGCATACAAAAATAACTACAAAAATAAATTTATATGAAACAATATAATAGAAAATAAAAAACACTGGATAATTCTCTTCAATATGGCTAAAACTAATGGTAGATGACCATTGTAATGATTAAATAGTTATAATAATATATAAAGATGGAAATACAATAACATTATTTAGTATTCATAAGAAC